ATTTTGGGAATAGGGTCGGTGTCATTAGTAGATTATTTATTGCCAGCATATCGCATATTCTCACGAATTAATACATAATTACTTTTTTTTTTTGTTTTTTTTCTTTTTAATGTTGTTCATTTTCATATCTTTATCGTTATACATATATTTACATCGTGCATAAAAATTTTTTATAATGAACACTTTAAATTCGCGTTACCCATTCGACGCGTAATTTTTTGGGAGGATTTTCTTGTCAAGCCCATTATTATTATTATTTTTTTTTAAATTCATGTAAGCCAATCAAGATTTGAAAAGACAACCTCTAGAATAACCGATAAGATATGATAAGCTTTACTTTGAAATATGTAAAAAAAAAAATGGCATAGGCTTGTTGGTCTATTACGCTGACACACGGGTATAAAGGTGACATGCCAACTACGAAATTATGATTGTTTTTTTCCTTTTATGGTTAATAAATTTATGGTGTTTTGGTGCGAGGTTTACGCACTACTCAGTAATCAAATTACGTCTTTATATGAATGAATAAAATAGCTTTTAAGTGTTCAAAAAACGGAATATGATTACCAAGACGTTATCCATTATTTTTGAAAAAAAAAGTGTGATGTTAATTTTTTTACAATAGTGTAATTAACGTAAAGTATTCGATTCACACGTCAATGTCAAACCTTGACGAACGCCAAACCTTAACGGGCACGCGAACTATCCTATTTACGTTGTGATGGCGTTCTTTTATCAAATATTTGAAACAAGGAGGAAGCTTAGATCCAAAGAAAATAATAGCATAACCCTTTCATGATTTGACTTTTATGTACACATAATGATGCACCGACTCAATGATTAAAGTACCCTGGTCTATGTAACGGCTATCGAGCTCTTACGTACATACCTAAGATTAAATATATATGATAAGGCTATGCCTACCACTGTTATTCTATTTTCGATTGGCCATTTGCTATAGAGATTTCCTTTTTTTGAAGTGTCACATTCAGCTTTTAGAAATTTATATAAAAGATGAAAACGTGATGGCGCATACATATAGATCGTTAACAGTGGAAACAGAGTGTGCATGATTTTGACGTAATTAGTGCATGTGCATCCGTACCCCCGGAAATGTATTTATTGTATACGATCAATTCCCTCCGTTTTTATTGATTACATTGTCACACTATCTACACCATTCCTCATGATGTATGCGATCGATACAATGACATAAAATATATATATATGTATAAACTCGAAAATCGCTTGCACCATTTGTCGAAAAAGAATGGCCTCACAAAATAACGCAAATTCTTCAATCCTTAATCAAACCACACCAAATCGCATTGTTCCCCCGATAAATTTTGGCAAATTCGAATTCTTGCTTCCAAAATTGACTGAAGAAGAATTGCAAATAATATTAAATCCACCTCTGCGCCTTGTTCTAACAGTTGAAGAGCTTTTCGGTCCTGCAAAAAGACCTTCAAAAAATCCCAATCCACCTCGTTCTTTAAATGCATACTTCCTTTGGAGAAGGAATTATGACGCATCACAACCTTCTAAGAATTGCACACAACGTTCACATGAATCCAGTAGGATGTGGAATAGATCAGATAATAGAATCAAACGTTTTTTTAAAATTTTATCAGATCTTCATAAGATCTATCATGGACTAAAGTATCCACAGTATAAATATAATCCAAGAAGAAATACACATTCTAAAGTTAGCGAAAAATTGGTAATATTTTCCAATTTAGTACATATATTATGAATTCTTGTATGACAAATATAATTGTTTTCTACAGAACCTTACACCTCTTGACTATGACAATGAAGCCCAAGGGAACTCAATGACGAATTTTGATCAAGAAGGTTCTCATCTTGATATTAATAATGGCCTTGAAGTCTGTGAGCATTATGAGAAGATCCTTGGCTTAGAGTACTTATTGGAACTTGCTAATCAAACACAAAGGTTTATATCATTGTTAATAAAATCGATTACTGTGCTTAATTCAGGTTATTTTCGAAATTACGCACAGGCTCGTTATTTCACGATAATACAATCAATACATGCATACATACGTTATTATACGAGTTATTGATTCTTGAACATCAACCTTTTAAAAACTATAGTTCTTAACGAGTACGAAGACTATATCTGGAGATTTTAAAGGACATTAAAATATATTACCGGTATATGCTTTTTTTTAAAGAGCTGAACAAAAAATTACAATATCTATCTATCTATATCTATATTATAAAAATTTAGATGTTCGATCCGTCTAGCATCACATAACTAATACAGCGACCCCCCAAAATTCTCCGGGTTACACAAAATTTGATTGGATGGGTTTCCGATTTTTTCCGATTTACGATTTTTTTATAACGCAAGTTCAAAAATACATAACAAAATTATTTGGAATTGATTTTAAAAATTTATTATTTTATAAATCAAATATATAGCATTGAATTTTAATAGAAAATGTCAAAACAAAACAATAAAGTAAAATATCCGCAATACATAATAATTAATAAAAATTTTATTAAAATGTATACTAAATTTTAAAGACCTGATTACGATTAAGGTATATATTCCTAAATCCATTCGAAATTATCTAACCATCTAAAAAGCGAAGCCAATGCATTATTTGGTTCAATTTCTAATGATTTGTTTAAATCATGTTTCTACAATTTCTTAATACCAATGAATTATTCTGTTCAATTTCTAATGATTTGTTTAGATGCGAAAATGATGCCATTATTCAAAAAATTTCTTCACAATAATTTAATACAAACTATATTACAAGTTCAATTTTTAACGATTTGCAAGTTCCTTATTATATCTGCCCGTTATAAGTATCTCTACAATTTAATAATGCAAATACATTATTCGGTTTAATTTCCAATGACTTTCTAAAGTCTGTAAGTGACACATTATAACTACACAAGTGTCTTCATGATTCTTTAATGTAGATATATTATCGAGTTCGACGTCTAATAATTATTTAAATCAGCAAGTAACTTTTCATGTTTGCTATTGTACGATAAGTATTTTCATAACTTCTTAATGCATATGTATTTCTAGTTTAGTTTTCAGAAATTTGATCAAATTTGAAAGCGACTCATTATATTTGCCTATCATACAATAAATGTCTCTATAATCTTTGATATAAATTAATTTCTAATAATTTGTTCAAATCTAAATTCTTCATACTTGCAATTAGATTGTATGTGATTCTGCAAGCTGTTAATGCGTCTACATTATCTACTTCAATCTCTAATGATTTGTTTAAGTCTTCATATTAGTTCATCGTAAGAATTTCTGCTTCTTAATGCAAGTGTACTATTCAATTCAATTTCTAATAAAAATGTTTAAATCTGTAAATGAATATTCTTATCTTTTCGTTCTACGCATAATTATCCAAAATACCTTAATGATAAATGCCTTTTAAAATTAATAATAACTTATTTCTATGCTAATGAATTAGTAATCTTATTTATTCACTAAGTCAATATAAAGTAAAAAGATATTACGCAAATATCAATAATAAAAAAAAAAATAGAGACATAAAACATTAATCTCTACACAAATTAAACTGAGTAATAGAATAATGAAGTTAGTGAGATATTGTATAATCGAACATAAAAATTATTTAAAACGCTTTAGTAATAAATGTTTTATGCTTATATGAATTTGAAGTAAGCAAATATTAAAAAAATGCACAAATATTATCTAAAGATTTATCTTAAAAACATTATATGTTCTTTTGAATCTTTATATGTTCTTCCCCTAGTTTGTTTTTTTTGTGCATGATCGATATCATCCATTATTTCACGTACCCGTTTTGAACCTTTAAGTAAAGCCTTCACATGTCGAAAATTACCTGCATCATACTCTTCTTGTATATGCTGAAGAAAATATTTATGTTTTTCAATTTCTTTAGTAAATTCTTCTGGTGACAATTCTACATTATTATCCTCATCAAACTCGCTTGTTTCAACCAATATTTTTTCTAACCCATTATTAGATGATGGAATGACGTCTTGCAAATTTTCATTATTTCCAAATTGCCAAAAAGGATATTCACGATTTCAGTAAAATTCATCATACAATAACCTTTTTGACACACCATTAATCATATGAATTAAATGTTTACATATTAAAAATCGACTATGGAGAAAAAACGGACAACTGCAAATCCATTTATCTGCATCAATAAAATACTTTTCTTTTGTATTTTCATTAATTTGTTTTATGCAACATAATTTCCAATCTCGCTTAAATGATTCCCACCAGTGAGGCTTTAATCTCCCTGCACTTAGTTGATAAAACCAGATACTTTGATCAGGAAGTAATTTCTCACAAAGAACATAAACAACATAGTCAAGGCATGGACGGTTAAACCGATATAAATAGTCATACTTGACGACCTTCCAATGCGCCTCAATTAACATGTTTGTTTTTCCAAATGGAATAGTGCATCGATTACTACGTGCCCACAAACTCTAATAGTTTTTTGAATACCAAGATAAATAAAGGTAATTCCAAAGCCGCAGATTTTGGTGTTTTACACAAAATTGGTAAGTTTCTTGTACAGCTCTTTTCCAGATTTCTTCAGGGGTTAAAAAAGAACCATCTTTGTTAACGGGAATCAGAGGGTGTATATTAAAGTGTTTTTCTATTAAAGAAAGAACTTCCTTTTGATATCGTGCTATACAGATAATGCCGGTTTCTTTTTTTGGAACAAAGTTTGGATCAATAAATAGAAATAATTTTAAATCAATTTCCTTAAATGAATAATATCGTTCTAATTTTTGACTAGATCGCATCTTGGTTAAAATAGCCTTTTTCACATGCCACAAACATAATTGAACGTCAGATTCTGGCCAAACCTTTTGAGCTGCACTTATTTCGGCAAAATCTTTGTCAGTAAAAATATATTCAGGAAACAGACCAAGATCTTTAAATTGAGATAAAAATTCTACTAAAATCGATGTCCTTGTTGATTCAATTTCGCCTTGTTTAATATCTAAAATAAGATACTCTAATGTAAAGCCTGTTCTGTCCTTTTCAGCAAGTAAACTATAAAGTTCAAAAGAACCTTTTGCCGTTTTGTATGTAGCATCTAAGTGAACTTCCTTTGTACTTTTCAATTCATTAAAAAGTGGTGTAGAAAAAGCAATTGCCACGAAAGTATCTGATGTTTTTGCAATTAATAATTTATAATTCTTTAATTGATACTTATTTTCAATAAGAATTATAGCTGATTTTACTGGATCTTTATTCTGTTGATATAACGATTGAGTAAAAAAACTCCACCAGTAATAAATCTGTTTTCCGGTTATGTCTTTCATATCAAACTTTGTAGAAAGGTGAGTTCGTAATTGTAATGGATCAAGATTTTTATTTTGCTGAATTTCAGTTTTAATTTCATCAGAAACTTTTGTTTGAATTGAAGAACATTCATGAAATATTTCATGTTGGATTTTTATATTTGCGTATGATTTTAAAAGATTAGTTCGTATAACAAGACGTCCACCACAATTATATCGAACCATCCTTTTTCGGTTTGAAGGCTTGTAATCACTTAAACTTTCAGATTGACTGCATGTATAATATGTTGTACCAACTTGTTCTGGCATATTCTTTGAATAATTGGTTTTAATAAAACTAAAAAAAATTTTTAATATATTAACATTAATAATACTGTAATACATATAATACTAATATAGCAACTTTGTGCTATATAAATAAATATGCAATTTGCAAATTTTAACATTATCGATTATATGTACGTATGTACATATGTACATACATACATACCTCCATTTATATCCACTTCCATTTTCAATTTGTTCACGAATAGAATTTGTAATTTCATTTAACAGTTGATTTAATATCTCAAATTGAACAATTATTTCAAACTCTTCTGTATTTTCGGTCTTTGTAATTTCCTCAATTATTTGCGAAAGACCACTTATATGTACTTCAAAAATAGCATTACTATCATCCATAATATTATCATTAGCATTGCTTTGGTTAACAGACAAGTTTGTTGAATTGTTAGTAAACGAATCAATTAAATTATTGGCTTGATGCATAATTTCAATTAATAGTTTTTTGATATTGGAATTTTTCGTGGTTTGATATTTGGACTGCCATTTATTTAAACAAAAATTACATGTTTTGAAAAATTTTCCTTTGATTATTTTAAATTCATTTTCTGAATGTGTTGTTTTACAACTTGAGCAAAATAAAGACATCATTGATATTATTAATGGTATGCACGAGAAAGAAGATCATTATTATTACTTTACGCATATTTAATATTTAATATATAAATGATCTGCATCCAATCAAATTTTGTATAACCCAGAGAATTTTGAGGGGGATCGCTGTATTAGTTAGCATCACATGATTTTGTATAACACTATCCATTGTTTATGTGTTATTAAAAAATTTTGATGATCAATCAACGTGTTTGTTGTTACACGAATACTACATCGTATAGTTAGTGTTTAAAATTCAGAACAAAAATTACTTGCAACTGTGCAAGTAAAAAAAATTTTTACTTGCACAATTATAAGTAAAAAAGTTTTTTGTTTGTACAACTACAATTTTTGTAAAAATATATATTTATTATATCTGAAGTTGCAACTTCAGATATCTAAAGTAGCACCTAACTAGAATTAAGCCTCTAAAATTAGATCTTTATGTAATTCTAGTCAAGTGCTACTTTAGATATTTAAAGTTACAACTTTAGATAGGAGACACTTCAAATACAACATATGTATTATATAAACTTGGTGCAATTTTTTTAAAATTTTACTTGCACATGTTGTATATATATTTTACAAAATACTTGTATATTAAGAAAAGCTTTTGCACATATGCACCTTGTGCAAGTCAATTTTAAACACTGTGTATAGTACAATTGTAATAGATTTTATTTATTACACAATGGTTGTTAATTGTAGATCCTAAAACCAATTTATGATACTAAAATTTAATATACTGTATAGTTAGTTTAAATAAAATATTTGTTTAAGAAATCTTTACAAGTTTAGTTTTAATTATACATTTTTTAAGACTAAAAAAAATATACTAAGGCCATGCAAATTAAATTAGTTGATTTTTATTATATGAAACAAACAAATAAGACCTGGTTAGCTGGCAAAAAATGATATATTTAAAAAATTTTTTAATATAAAAAATTTTTATAATTTTTTTTTCATACAGAAATAAAAAAAATTTTATATAGAAAAATTTAAACTTCTCTAAAAAAGTAACCTGGCAGGGTGACGAAAATTAATTTTATTAGTTTGCATAGCTTAATAAATAATATGCTGCAAGTATTATTTCTTAAGAATAGAGAGTATATAGATCATTTCTATTAATAAACTAGTTTCTAAAAATTTTTATATCTAAGGCCATACAAATTTGTATTTTTGGTTCTCATAACTGGCCGGATCACCAAATCCAAATCAAAAAATTTTAATTTTTAAGCATAGTAAAAAATCAATCAATAAGAATTGATCAAATCTATAGTGTAAAATTTTAAACATTCGATCTATTTATTGTCATGTGATTTATTTATAGAGACCTGCTAATGCCACCCCCTACTTTTGCTAATGCCACCTCCCATGTGATCAAATCCGACCTCTAACCTATATGGACTACTACGACATTGCTTGTATCACGTAACCGAATTCTATTTGGCTTCGACATTACATCATATAGGTTATACAAACTAAGTATGTTTATACAACTTCTAAATAAACCACCCAGCATATATATTTATGTACATGCACATATACATACAATTAAAGCTTGAAAAAAATTTCGTTACTTAAAATATTCACTAGGTAAAAATTTGTTATCTCGAGCATTAACTGTACCAGTAATTCTAATTCAGAAATTTTCTTCACACTAAACTTTAAAAAAAAAATTTATAAGGTTGATATAGAAAAGCATAATTAGCACACTTTTGTACCCGAAGCTCTTAATTGTTGAAGTGTCACAATTTATATTTCTTTCAAATGAATAACTGCTAAGTCTAAATTTAATTCTGTATAACTAACTTTCGTTATTATGTTGAAAAAATACTATAGATGTATGCTACATAATTTTTACAGAACATATATATTCACACACTAGGACATGTTTGGCTATTATAGCCAGTTTGACAATATACTACACATTGTCTTTGCCTTTTTTCAAAACTTTCAAAAGTGGATAGATCTCTTCATACTGATCTTGAGTTTTTGTTTTTTGCTCCATTTGGTCTTCCTCTTGATTTATTAATAACTAGATTTTTCACCAAATCAGGAGGAGTATTCACCAAACCTTCTAGTTGAGTATATATAGTAGCTTGTTGATGTGGCGGCCAGAATTGATACGCTTGTACAAAAGATTGAAGAAGGGGTTGAAGATTTGTATAGTCATTATTTACAGATGGTGTTGGTTCCAAGAATTCTATATGATGACCTTGGATCCACCAGTGTTCATAAATATCACATTGTTGTAATACTTGACCATTTGCTAAATATTCACTAATTAGATGCAAGCATGATAACCCCATTGTAGATTTGAAAGTTTCAGTGCATGAATTCAGAGGTAAATCAGGTGTTGCGCTTGATGCTTTAACCCACTCATTACGAATTTTATTCAGGGCAAAGATAGAAACACGGTGTAAAAGAGGTTCAAAAAGAAAAATCTAATGTGTATATTGTACTTTCATACATTCGAAAGAAATTAGTGCACGAATTTCTCTTGCTTGAGATTCAATTTGTAAAACAATCTTGCGATACACCGATTCAAGATCATCTACTGCTGACTGTAAATACTTTTTAAGTGCAGTATGTGCAGCTTCTACTCGTAAGGTTGCCTTATTACCAAGATGCAAGTACTGATTAGTCAAGCAGAGATAAAATGTTCTTTATATGGCATCCAAGTTTCTTGAAGGTATTTTAAAACTTCGGGTTTGCTTTCATAACATTTTAAAAACTTATCCCATTGAATTGTAAATTCCTGTTCTGTAATCGATGCTGTTACTAATTGCCACATTCTTAAAAATTCATTCCAGTCTTCTTCTACAGTAAAATAATGTTTGCACTTAGTTAAGATATTCTTATTTATATGCCATATACATATAATGTGTCGAGTGCTAGGAAATACTTTATTAACAGTATTCATTAGTGCCAATTCCCTATCAGTAACAATAACTTTAGAAGGGGACAATCTACTAAAAATTCTTGATATACAATTCAAAGCCCACTCATATTCTGTTTCAGATTCATCATTCAAAAAAATGAAACAGGAAAAAAGGTCGTATTAAAACATGACATCCCAACAATGTTTAACAGAGACATTCGATATCTATTGGTCTTGTATATACAGTCTATAAGCAACACACTAGGGTAGATACTAGTTAAAGAAATAGATATCTTATGTGCAAAAAAAAGATATTTTATACGATTTTGTTGGTCATATTGGTATTCAAATTCAAAATCTGATCCTTGTAGTTCATCAAGCAGGGTTTGAATTGGTATGCAACCACCAAGTCTTTCTTGACGAATAGAATACAGTTCATTATAAATTATTTTTGATATGGCCATTGAGGATGGGTCATTAAGATGGATTGTTAATAGAATTTGACGTAGATGGGAGCCAGCAGCAGCCATTCAGTTAACTTGTTCCTATTGTTTAATATTTAACCTTCAAATAGTTGGATGACCAGACATATCCTCAGAGGGCTGATAATTGTATTCAGAGTTTCGAACCTCAAAAGACCAAGTGTTATTATATCTGGATGCAAAGAGTTAAAATAAACAATTTAAAAGTTTTGAAGAGGTTTGTCTACGGCGTGAATTTTCTGTTAAATTTAATCTGTTTCTGTAATAACCGCTTCTATCACAACCTAATATCATGTTTTTGATTTCACCATTTATATCCGATCATGACCTTTTGATTGTTATGGCATATTCTTGGGTTCTAGCAAAGCTTCGGACATGTGAAAGAAGCTCTTTTCTACTTTCAAATTGGTCAGTTGGAGGTGAAAGCATACTAAAATATATATATGTATCCTAACAAATTAATAACATTATATTAATAAATATAACAACCTTTTTTTTTTTTAAAAAAAAAAAACACAACTTACAAGATATCTAAAATGAGTAGTTTTTGCTTTAATTTTAAGGATAAAAAGAGGAAAGAACGATTTGTATTGCCAATTCACTCTTTATTTATTTACATATATCATGTATATTCAATTACCAAATCTATAGTCAGATATTTAACTATGCATTACACTACCAATTTACCTATACAAGGTATGTAGGGTTGTAAAATTACTTTCTTTTATGCAAGCTTTAATAATTCTCAAAACCATTTTTTATATGTTGATGAATTGTAGAAAAATTTTTGGCTTATGTCATATAATTCGCATAATATAGAGAAGTTTCAATTTACTTTTGTATTGTTATTTTTTTCAACTCTTTACAATAATGCTAATATAACAATACTTCACTTAACATGTTAATTATGCTTTAAGGAGATGTGGTTTTTATAATTAAATTTGAAGAACAGAACGATTTTTACTAATTTTTTTCCTTATATACAAATTTAAACTAATTTTTACTACTAATATGATTGCATATTATGTAATATTCGATTTAACTATCTTTTACTACATAAATATAGTCATATATTTCATATCGTTCAAATTAGCAATATTTTACATTTTTGTTTACATACTAAGAGATAATAATAGAGCTCTGCAGCGTATAATTAAGGTTATATTGGTTTACTAAAAAAAAAAAAACCGTAATTCTTGTTGATGAAAATCAGTATTACAAAAAAACAGTAGATATAACAAAATAACTCTAGTATAGATTATTTTTGTTTCACGTTAACTAATTATATAAAATATATGAAACCTAATTTATGCATGTACGCTTTTACGTATGATTTCAATAAGAACGGATCTGACAATAATATAATAATTGTAAGAATATTCAAGAATTGCCATGATATATATAACATGTAAAATAAAATTTTGCCTATTTCATCTTAAATTTTAATGTGATAGAGGGCTTTTCTT